ATAAAATAAAATAAAATAAAATAAAATAAAATAAAATAAAATAAAATTGTTGTGGCAGCCAAATGCATTCCCTGTGTGTACCTGGGCACAGCCTTTGGAAAGGACATCTGTGGGCTGTTGCCTCACATCCCATAACACACAGAATGGAACAGGGCTGTACTGCTGGCAGCTTTCTGCTGCTCAGCCATTAATGTTGGAGGTGGGGATGTTCCCTCACCTGACCGCCGCTGCTCTGCATTTTGTTCCTGCTTTCTAGCACCATTTCATCTGAGCGCTGTTCCTGTGGCCCAGGAGGAACTCTGCTCCTTGCAAGCCTGTACGCCACCAGCCCAGTGCTCTTCGTGTTTTATCACCTCCATGGTACCCCAAGGCCCAGAGACAGCATGTGAAGCGTGCTGTAAAGCATAAAGCACACACGGGCTTACACACTGAAGGCAGCTGTTCAGGGCTGTGCCCACCCACGAGTGCTTCGCAGGAGCAGCCATGGGCTGTGAGCACAGCACTGCCCGGCTCCGCTCCGCCGCCGCTCCGTGCTGGTCCTGGTTCATGGCAGCTGGTCATGGGAGCAGAGCTGGATTTCTATCTCTGCTCTTGTTTCAAGTTGCCCTCAGTGTATCCTTTTGGGAAGGAAAGAATGCGTTGCTTGAATACTACTTGAAGAGCTGGAGCTTTTTTCCCTATGCAGAACACGGTGCTGAATGCTGCTGCTTCTTCCTCTGACGTTTAACACAGTGCTTAACAAAGGTAAGATTTTAGAGGCTTCTTCCCTGTGGAAGCTGTCAGAAGGGCTGTCCCTGCCCCCCGCTGGAACCTGCACTCCACCCACAGCAGCCCCACCAGCACCCAGTGCCCCGTTCCTGCTGGGACAACACGGGCCATGGTGGGAGGTGCTGGGAGGGCTGTGCCATACCGGTGTGTGGTCAGTGCAAGGGAATGCATCCGGGAGTGAGGAAATCTGAGCTCAGAAGGATTTAGGCTGTAAATGCAAACGTGGGATCGAAACACACAAATCAGTACTAAGCACTGAGCCATCAGCGCAGTGCCTCTCGTGATTTGTCTGGATTTGGATGAGAACACTGTTTATTGACTGCTTTTCCTTTTTCTGTGGGGCCATGTTGATTTGCCCATAGGACGCTGGTTTTGCTTATTGCAGCACATGGCAGGGCGTACATCTCAGCACTCACGCTGTGATGTTATCACATGGGGATGGTGCAGCCACGAGGAGCTCCTCTGCAGGCGGTGAGGCTGGAAGTCACACTGTGTTGAGTGGGCATGTGGGCTCATGGAAGGGTGTTGGGAAATGGTGGGGAACTGCCCTGGAGCTCCGGCGGCCGTGGTGTCACAGCTCTGTGGGAGGATGCTGTGATGAATGGAGGCGGGGGGGATGGGGCCTTGGTTTCCACGGGTTTTCTTTCATTCTGAGTAATCTCCTTAAAAAAGAATCTGTCCTATGAAGCACGAGGGTACCCAGAGCACTGGGTATGGGTGATTCTCAGCCCGGCCCTGCACTGCTCAGCTCTGTGGGCAGAGGCCCAACGGAATGGAGCCCCTGAGCCACCGCTCTGCTGGCTGCCAGCAGTGCTGCCATGCAGTGTCAGCGGGTGTCCATGGGGACGTGCAATCTGCACACTCCTTTGGTCAGTTTGCTGTGCTTGCAGTCCCACCCCATGACCTGTGTCAGATGGCTTGGCTGACACTGAGGTCAGAAGTGGGAAATTTTTCATGACCTCTGAGGAGCTAAGTTTGGGAATGGTGAAACTTAAACCCAACGCTGAATAACAGTGTGGGGCTACTGTGTGCCCAGGGCCTCTTGGTGCGGAGCTGTGCGGGTGTGTGGCACCTCTGTGTGGTGCATGAAAGGCTTTGGTGGAAATCTCTGGGCTGTGCTGAGCTGCTGAGCTGTGCAGACGGAATGAATGCTGTGTGTGTGTCCGGGCTCCCCAGCGGGGAGCTGCCCCAGCGGTCCGAATGTGTGCGGGTGCTCTGTGTGCCTCTATTTTGCTTCATCATTTCCCAGTGTGTGAAAGCCTGTGGGCTCCTCAGGAGCCAGAAATGAGCTCTGCAGGACTGTCATGGCCAGCATCTGCTCTGTGTTCCTCTGGATGGAGGGTGATAGCCCTGGGCACAGTGCTGTCACGGCACACTGAGGGAAGAGAGAGCACCAGAGCTGCCTTCAGTGCTGAAATAAACAGAGGAGAATGCATTTGGTTGTAATTACCCTGCTCTTACAGCAGTTTCCCTGCTCCCTGTGAAACGTGGGGTCCTGAGGAGTTCTGTGTCACTGGCTCAGCAAAGTGCCCTCAGGCTCTGCCTGTGCAGCCAGGAGCAGCCCGGTGTGTGCTTCCTTTAGGAATGCTCAGAGAAAGCTTTCTTCAGTTGAGCGCTGCTGCATCTCATTGTAATGATTCAATGCATCACACCATATGCTGTTATAAGGGAAAGTAATCATTTTCTGAGCAGTGCTTCATAGCATGCAATAATTGTGCTTGATTTCTTGTGCTGGGCTCACATCTCACTCATGTTTTAAGGCAGGTTTTTGGTTTCAGCAGCCATCTCTGCATCTGCTTTGACTCCCTGCTGTCTGGGTGTGTGCCTTGTCTTTCTGTCACTGGGTCCTTTTCTCTCCTGAGACAGAAGTGTACGTGTGCTCTGGTACCTCCTGCAATGTGTTCTGCAATGCTTCTGACCTACAGGGAGCAAAGGTAGCTTGGTCAAAAGCAAGCAGGGCGGAACAGTGAAGGAAACGTGTTGTTGTGCAGCACAGCACCGTTCTGCCATCCTGCAGCCCTCCCCTGCCATCCCCTCTGCTGTGCACCTCTCTCCTGCTCCTCAGCACCCTTCTCACTGACCCCAGATGTGTCCTTTCTTTCCCACATGCTGCTTTCAGTTACAGTGAAAGCGGTTGATCTTGACCTTCCTTTTTTTTGCTTCTCCTTTCTCTCTTCTTCTTTCCCCACTGCCTCCCCAGCACTGTGCCCCAGTGCAGAGTGCTCCCTTCGCTAAGAAAATAAAACAAACAAAAAACCCACAAAATAACCAGTGATAATTTACCCAAAGTCAGGTTCCTGTAACGCTCTTCTGTGCTTGGCACTTACAAAGCTACTACTCCTTGTAGTACTGCTATAAGGAGCATAACTTTAAATATGGGGTTGGAAGTTCTAGCTTACGTTTAAGGAGTCAGATAATCATTAACCCAGGGCTGTGGATTTATCGCCCTATGCCTCATTATGTCCCAAGCTTGTGAATGTGAGCTTTGCTGGGTGAGTTCTGCTCCTTATAGGCACGGTGGGAACG